AAAAAAAAAAATAAAGAGTTTGAGGGTTGTTTTTGTTTGTGTCATTTTAAGAATCAGTTATCTCTAATTTTCACCCTGACCTGTTTGTCTTTAGCTACTACTACCCTGGGAGGGAACGGAGGGAGACAAGAGTGGCACACCCAGGCCATCTCACGGCTGCATGGCCAGGAGAAAGCCAGCTGGTCACCTGGGAGGTGAAGTCGTGCTGTTGCAGCTGCCGGCCCTCACGCAGGTCCCAGGACCTGACCGTGTTGTCCAGGCCGCCTGTCCAGAGCTTGGTGCCATCATTGGAAATGTCAATACAGCTGGCTCCGTCTGTGTGGCCCTGGAATTGCCTGATAAAACAAACCAGATTGAATAATGATTTCCTGCCAGAGCTCAAGGTAAACACTGTTGTGTTGTTAGGTTTGGACCCTGTGAGTGCGTGTCATCTCGCCAGCGTCTGCTGATGTGCAAGATCAAACTACCCTTCCCTGGAGGAAGACAGGAAACGGCACCTGCAGATTGTCTTTTTCCACAATTGAGTGTGAAAGAAATGGAACGCCATCGCAGGTCACTGCCCAGAAGTTACACATGCTACTTTGACAAATCCATCTGGAAGGTAAACTCTTCCAGGTCTGGAAGTTGTGTTAAAAGAAAATAAAGGACAAACAGACAAAATCCCAAGTGTAGCTCTTAAGGAAAGATAAAGGCCTGCCCTACAATTGTGAGGCTTGAGTTCTTGAGAGAAAGAAGTGGCTACATTACAAGCTGCGGACGCATTCCTGTCTCTGTGAATCAACACGGCTATGCCCTTCGTGCCAAGAGAGCATGAGCTCATGTATTTACTCAACCTTGCCTTCTGTGTTATAAAGAGCCCAGGATTAGGAAATCTGGACTCCCAGAGACAACGGGTCATGCATGCTGGCCTCCTGTCCTCAGAGGCATTGAGCAGAGACAAAGGTAACTGCTCAGGCAGACCCCATGGGGCCCTCAGCGAGACCCTGCCTCCAACCTGAGTGCAAAGCTGTTCTTTAATAGGAAATCTTGTGCTTCATCCAAAAACACCACCAAAAACAATCACCCAGCAGGGATCTGCTGAGCAAGGTATGGTGTAAGTCGCTGCAGGGCTGGTGGTTGTTTAGGACTCAGGGACCTGGTACGAGAGTGGTCGGAAAAGATGAGTGAGGTCTGGACCCACCCTCAGAACCAGACAGACGAACTGCTAGGGAATTTCAATGCGGAGGAAGGTCTCCATGGCTTTTCTTCCTCTCGGTTCCCCCGACCTCATACCCACAGAACGCCAAACTTTAAATCTGAGCTTGGAATTTAAAAGAGTGCAAGGGAAGGAAAAAGCACCACTGTTGCCCTAAATTGTGGGCCAAGTGTGAACTGTTACTTCAAAAAGCTTCCTCCGTAAGCTATCCCGACTTCTGCAATTCAGCATCAGGCTCAGTCCTGTCTCCTCCACTCCACCGTGTGAACAGTGGGCTTCAACTGTTCCCTCTGACACGTCCCCACAGCTCACACAGGCCTGGAGCAGTCCCTGCTTCACTGTTCCAAAGTACCACTTTTCTCTGCTTCAAACAGAGTTGGAGAGTCAATGCTCTGCTCTTCATCCGCTGACTTCTTTTGACCTTTCTGACTCACTGCATGCTCTTACTCCTTGGTTAAAGAAATCCTTTCCTGCTGACGTACACCACTGGGTGGGTATCCCTCCATCCCTTCCTCCGCACCCACCATCCACACATCTCAGCATCACTGAGTCAGGTCCTATGACTGTACCAGGGTACAGTAGACAAAGACACCCAATAGGCTTTACATTGCCCTGTCACACAGAGCAGCCACATGCGGCCTCTCCAAATTTACAAAGATCTATAAAGCGTTACTCCATCACATGGGGGGGGTACTGGGCACAGGGTACACGTAAGAGAGCAGAATGCCTAGGCTTCCATCTCAGGTCCAACGACATCACCTGGAGTGAGTGCTGTGACCTCTCTGTGCCTCAGTTTCCTCATCTGTAAGGTGGGGAGAACGCCAGTACAGATGTTATGAGGATGTGACAGAGTAGTATTCGAAAAGCTCTTAAAATCAGTATTTTGAAAGAACTATTTATTAAGTTAAAGAAAGAAAAAGAAAACCAAGTAGTTTCTGCTAAGCTAAAAGGTCAAAGGAACTTTCAGCTCTGGCTCCATTACTCCATTTTGCTCACTCTGCTCCACGCAGCAAGTGGTAAGAGGAAAATTACTGCTGCACCGTCACCCGCGTGCAGGGACAGGGGCTGGCTCAATGGCACTGAATGGGTTCCACAGAGGAGGTTTGAAGAGCAAGTGAGCTGTCGTGACGACTTTTGCGGGCCATCCCTTCTCTCAGCACGTGGCCCTGGAGCATGACAGAAGGCTTGCCAAGTAAGGCCTCAGACTGCAGCAGACACAGAGATGGTTTCTAAGCCAAGATGACATGTGAAACAAAAGGAGATACATGCTGATTGTATCACTGACATTTCATTAGTGCTTACTTTTTATAAAGGCTTTTCTAAGAACATCTCTGGTGTGAGCACTGACTTCTGTCGGGGGCACATGGTGAAAGAGCTGAGGACAAACGGCCATGGTAGTGGCGAAGGTTAGGAGAGAAGATTCCAGGAAGATCCCTGCTAGCTCGTGGGTGCAATGACCCCTGGGCGTCTCTTATTTCATTACTGAGAAACACAGAAACTTTAAAACCATTCTGTGGGTAAAATTTGTGGTATCTTCTCTTCCTGTGTCCCTTTGTTGATTTTCTGTTATCTCTTATCAGTCGGTTCCTATTTGCACAAACAACGTTCTAGCCAAACCAAAAACATGTAGCAGTGCAGGCCCTTCATACTGTCATGCAATACACAACAGGCTCTCCTTGGCAAAAGCCAGGAACACTTTTTAAACGTGGTGGGTGTCTGTGTGTGGGCCAAAGGAATGGAATATTAAGGAAATAAAAAGTCTCCGTGACACCGAGCACAGCAGCAAAACTGTAAGCCGCCCAAAAGCAGCAATACAACTTCGTCTCTGCACCCTGAAGCCTAGCTCCAAGCCTGGCACACAGTAGGCTTCCCGTGTACAAGCTTAGCATCTGCAGGACAGCCAGAGAAAAACAGAGGTGACAGGAGATCTCCTGGCCAGCTACTCCAGGGGAAGCCTCCCTCAGACAACCATCTTTGCTCACCTCACCAGCGTCTGGTTGTGCAGATCCCACACAGCGATATTGCCGTCACTGCAGCACGAGAAGCAGACCTTGGAGTCGGGGCTGATGGCCAGGGCATAGCAGGCGGGGGCTGAGGATGTCAGCTCTGCCTTGATGCGTGGGGTTGGAGCCGCCAGGTCCCAAATGGACAGAGTGCTGGCTTCCCCTCCAACTATGAGAGTGCAGCCATCAGGGAGCAATTTACAGGAACGGATGTAGTTGTCTCTGTTCTGTGAAATAAACATGACCCAACTATTATAATAATGAATTAGTAAGCAATAACAGCACTGCATTTCTAACTGCTGTATTGACTTAAAGAGTGGCATTTCACAGACACCCTAACAAAGCAAGAATTCTGTAGTGAAGACCAGGGTCTGACTACAAATGTCTCCTTCAAAATAGTAAACAAGGCTCAGCGCCTATAGCTCAACCGGCTAAGGCGCCAGCCATGTACACCTAAGGTGGCAGGTTCGAATCCCCAGCCCGGACCCGCCAAACAACAATGACGGTTGCAACCAGAAAAATAGCCGGGCGTTGTGGCGGACGCCTGTGGTCCCAGCTACTTGGGAGGCGGAGGCAGGAGACTCGCTTGAGCCCAGGAGTTGGAGGTTGCTGTGAGCTATAATACCATGGTACTCTACCCAGGGGGACAGCTTAAGGCTCTGTCTCAAAAAAAAAAAAAAAAAAATAGTAAACAAAACAAACTGCACTGCCCGGGCACAGTGAAAGCTTAGACTACTGTTCCTGATGTACTTCACAGACAGAATTGAAATCACCAGGGTGTTAAGGTGTGCGAATGTGTACTTCTCTATAAAGAAACCACTTGTCAAAAGAAGTTTAAGAGGCCGGGAGTGGCGGCTCATGGTTATAATCCTAGCACTCTGGAGGCCAACGTGGGAGGTTTGCTTGAGCTCAGGAATTTTAGACCAACCTGAGCAAGAGTGAGACCCCTTCTCTACTGAAAATAGAAATATTAGCCAGCTGGTGTTGTGTGCATATAGTCCTAGATACTCAGGACGCTGAGGCGGGAGGATTGCTTAAATCCAGAAGTTGGACAGTAAGCTATAATGACGCCACTGCACTCTATCCAGAGTGACAAACTAAGGCTGTGTGCCTCAAATACTTTAAAAAAAGAAAGGTAGTTTCTGAATTTTTTGCCTCCACTGCTTACTGTTAGGGAATTGCAGAACACTATCTATGTTTTGGTTTTCATCATTCTGAATTCTCTACTCAGTGGTGGACTGTGCCTTCGTTAGTCATAAAGCTCCATCAACACCTGTGAAGGGGAGTGGGACCTAATGACCTATACACCCCCAAATAATCACTATCCTCCAACTTAAACCCAGATATCCCAATAGGTAAGGCTGAGTTCTCTTACATGCTTTAATAATGGCCTATCTTTCAAATAGAAACTTCAAGTACATAAAACTTCACAAAAGGATACCCCTACTACTACAGAATGCTGAGCTATATTTAAGTATGAGTTTAATTAATAGAGATATTTTTTAAGTTATCTGATTTTTAAAAAATACACTAATAACTACCCCCAAAGTCTCTGTGTCTCAAAAACACTGCCGCTTTTTAGAAACACTCTCTTTGGAATCCTTACAACTCCAGGAAGACAGTGGCAAATGGCACCACCTAGGACAGCAGAGCACAGGCAGAACCATCCCAGAGGCAGGGGCAGCTGAAAGTTTGCTTACGGCCAACAGTATGTGGTCTGTAAATCCTGGGGTTACAGTTTAGAGATTGGGATGTGCCCTGGCGTGTCCTATGTCCCTGAAAAATGCAAAATGGTATTCTCAGAGGCTGGGAGGAGGTGGCGTAGGAGTCTTGGGAAAGCTTTCTCACTGTTCCTGGTTTACTGACGGCTGCCCTGATTTTTTTGGAGTGAGATCTTTTAACTCTTTTTTGAAGTTAAGGTAGTAAAACCAGCTCTCTCAGGTCTCCCTTAAAAACTACAGACCCTTTTGAGAATGGGTTTTATGCTACACCATCAGATGTTTACTTTCAATAGTTATTTGAAGGTTGTAGGGAAATTACAAGTGGAGTAGGTGGGAGAAATCAGAGTCCAGGCCTAGCTGTGCCTTCATCCATTAAATGGGAAACCCTTTCTATTCCATGTCCACACAAGGAAAGTTGCAAACCACTGTAAGAAACACTTAAAAAAAGAAATCCATCAAGTCTGGGTCTTACCACTGCAGTAGCAACAAATAAAACCCTTACATTTGTGGAGGGGGTGGGAGTGGTTTAAGAGCTGACACAGGAAACAGAAGGGGCTCTATTTCCTCATAATGGGAATAAAACCCAGGCCTGGACAGCTATTTCCTTATTGAGTCTCCAGGGAGAAATAACCTTGTGCACCAGTTCCTGTTCACTCACCAGACAGTCGAGCTGAGAGACAGGACTCTTATTGCCAGGGTGGCTGATGTCCCAGACCTTGACGCAGCCCTTCCCACCCGTGTACACGTGTCTCGTGGGGTTGCTGATGGTCACTGCACACACCACTTCTCCGTGGTTGAGAGTGTTGATCTGGCGAGCGTGTCGGGGGATTCCGGGTCCAATGAGGGCGTCGGGAGGAAAAGGGACAGGCTGCATCTGACCATCTGCAGTGACGTGGAAGGAGTATGCACTTTTGGAGAGAGACCATTAGAAGAGAGGAGGACAGGAGAAAAGACAAAAAACACATTTACCACACAGAAACCAGTCATTGCCCCAACACTATTCTAGGAGAAAGATGAAGAAAACGAAAGATATTTGTGTAATGGTTCCTTTTGAGATCAATACGAGTCGAAGGTTTATTGACGGAACAGGTTTAAAATAAATAACAGTAGAAATCTCAGGTATACCAAATGTCACATGTATTGACTTGTATTTTAATATTTTTTAATATTTAAAAAATTGCAGATATCCGTTCTAAAACATTCCCTCAAATTTTGTTATAAAACACTTATTGTGCTTCCAAATTAACATAAAATACCGCCTTCCATATACCTTGTATAATTTCTTAATTCATTTAAAATGTTTCCAGGGCTTAATAAGAAACTCTTAAAATCTTATAATTATGAACAGTCAACAGTGTATTTCAACACTAATAACAACAACAAACAGCATTCTAATCCCCTGTTAAAGCTTGGACTTAAAATTCTCTTTTGTATAAACAAGAAAAATAAAAGAGATTCTATTAAGTCAGGTGATTCTGTAACAGATTTTTAAGTTTCCCACTCAACTATCTCCCTTCCTATCTTGGTCATGAACACCAGTTTTACCTAAGGCAGCAAAGTCTCCAGCTAATCGACTACTCTTTCCAGACAACTGGAGCTCCTGCAGCCCTTTGGGGACACAAGGTTGACTCTGATGATGGAAAGAGACTGCTGGGGGATGCAGAACAGGAAGACAGGATGCAGAGGCCCTGGTGACACTACAAGGCCATGATACCTGCCCTGGGCTGCTGACAACCAGTATCTTTTATAAGAGAAATAAACTTCCACAGTATTTAAGCTACTGCTTTCTTCCCTTGTTAAATACAAACAAACCTAATGTAGTTGCACACTTCTATTTCCACACCAAACTCTGAAGCATTTTTTTTTTTTTTTGCAATGAACTAAATTTAAACTCCAAGAGCTAATATACTACATACGCTACAAAACATACACAACGGCAAGACATTGTAGAAGACAGAAAAACTGGAAGGGAAGTTTTTCACTGCTAATGTTTTCCTATCATCCCGATTGATAGAACTATGCATATCCCACTTTGAAGACTACTACTTTTATTTTCTTATCTGAGACATGACTAGGTGATCCAGAAGTTCAAACCATAAACAGTCAATAAAGCACGTACTGTTTTCTCCTTCTCATAACTATCCAGGGTTAAGTCTGGCCCCTGTCTGGAACTTGTCATTGGTGCCTTTACATATATAAACACCGTGCGTATGAACACAGAGCTTCAATTTTCATTTTAATACTAACTCAAATTTTGTACAGTAACTTAGCAGGCACAAAATTGAAAACTGATAACAGGCATCAGGGCTCTATTTTTCTAAACTTAAAACTCACAAGCTTTCTCTTGAAAATAAAACACATGCTATTATTTTTCCCTTCTTAAAAGCAAAATACCAGGTACACGAAAACTTTTAAATTTTCCCTCGTCTTAAACAAGGGGCACAATCTTAGATACGTTATCCCCGGGCAAATTGGTTCCAACAACTAATATTAAATGGCTATCTGGTCAAAATTTTTAATGTTACTCTGAATAATTGAGTACCATGTAATGAGAACTATGGGAATTCTGGTTAATCCAGAATTGGGAGTCCCGGTTAATAAATATGTATATATAACAGTACAGCTCAAAGCCCTCACATCACCAAACCATTACATCTCATTTTTCATCCAGCAGGAGGACCCTTTGGTGTCAAATCCACAAGGCATTTCAATACGCACACATGATAGTCGAATAGGGACCTATGCAACTTATTATGGGATGTTTGGAGTTGCAATTAAATAGCATTTTGTTGCCCTGTAAGACAGTCAAAGAACTGGAGTTTAAGTCTATTTAAATCTATTAGTATAATAAAATAGAATGAATTCTGGACTTTAAAGAATTCTCAGAGGGCTAAGTTCAGTAGCAAGTTATATGACCCCAAATCACCTATTATGACCTGGCTCTGAAAAGTAACAAACGTACGTCCAGGTGACACAGAACAAATGACAAGTGAGTTTCCCTCCATAAAATAAAACAATCGAGTGGCACACACTTTCTAAGAATGGTTGTTAGGGGAGGAGAGGATCACAGATGGATGTGGGCACCTCCAGGTAAGGCCAAGTGTTCTGTGTCGGGTTTTCAGGGGAAGGAAATTTTATCTTGCTTCAACTGGAAGCCTGCTTATTATAGAGTTAAATGTTCCAGATTAAAAGACGGGAGATCTGTGCGCTGGTCTCTGGGAGACACCCACTTGTCTCCCAGGTGTCCTCTCCTTTAAACTGCACAGGAGGTCTGCGATCATCACGCTGAGGCAATTTAAAATTGATTCACAGTGCAGCGGACTGCTGTCAGAAGCTGTGAACATTCATCCCTCCCTGGGGAGACCCATATGGATGTTAATGCATCAGTCACAGGGGACCTCGGAGGAAGCTGGGGCTGCCCGCTGTGCTGGAGCCTGGAGCGCCTAATCAAATGAACAAACCAGAACAGCAGCACAGGGCTGACCGTCAGTGGAAGGAGCAACTGGAAGAAAAGAACCAGAGGAGTGAGGGAGACCATTCCGAATTATCCCTCTCAACAGTAACAGGAATGTCCTTGATAAAAGGCCACGCTCAGGGCATTATCATGATGATGTCAAAGAGATCCCAAAGGAAACTCATTTTCTCCGCTGATACAGGAACTTAAAGCAAAACCAACCAGGAAAAGGAATTTATAAACAGACGGTGAGTATTTATAAATATCTCTTAAACCAAAATTAAGAATGAAGCCAGGTAAAAATGCAATAGAATATTGTAGTCTGACTGCGTTTATAGAAGTCCAAATACAGGCAAAATTTACCTGTGGTATTTACTGAATGGCAGGTAGGGTGATGGTTACCCTTGGCAACTTTGGGGGCAATAATCCTGTCCCATTCCTTGATCCAGGGGCTGGTTCCTTGGGTGTGTGCCCATGATGAAAAGCTGCTGAAATACACAGCTACGGTTCATGTCTTTTTCTGTGTGTAGATTGTTATTTCAATTTTTAAAGTTCAGATCCATTGTATTCAAGAAAAAGTGAGGGGAGGGCTCCTACCCAAGTAACACATGACAGGAGGTGCCAGCCAAGTCCACATCAAATGGACCTCAGACGTGGAGCCTGGCACACCAGCCACACCAACTGTGGTCTTGCTAACTAGCCAGGCTGCAGCCTACGGCATGTCTGTTCCCTGACCCATACAATAGAAATACTAATAAAATGTAGGGGTCACGGGAGTTGTTGCAAGGATTAAAGAGGTAACAGTTACAAAACACTTAACATAGCCCTTGACACATGTGATCTCAGGCGAGAAAGAACTCAGCAAAAAGTTGAACAAACATCTGAAAAGGAGACAAGGATGTTAGGTTAGAACTGCCGCAAATGCAGGGCAGAAAGAAGAGTCCCTGGATCCCTGGTTAGGGGCAGTATGCTAGGCCCACCAGCACCCAAGCAAGCCTCAGAATGAGGCCCCTTCCCCACCACACCTACAGATCAGGATGGCTGCTGATTCTAAAGTCTGGTTGAAGTACTGGAAAGATAAAGTCCACTATGCTTCACAGATTTAAAAATGGAATAAAATCAAAACTCATTTTGAACACGGGCTTTTCATTTACTAGGCACACAGCAGAGGTGAAGGCACTAAAGGAAAGATCCCACCAGAATCCCCCGCAGCAGCAGTGAACAAGGCTGCCTTCCTAGGAAGCAAGCAGGTTGTCTTTCCTAGCAGACCGGCTCCTGTTAATAAAACTATGCTGTGTTCTGTGGCCAGAGGAAAACAGGTGTTTACAGAGTTGTTGTGTTGCTGGAAACACAGGAACTGCAGTGGCCGAATCGAGTACACAATAATCAAGAATCATGGACCCTGGAGACGACGGGGCTGGTGCACTTGAAACCCTTGTTGTGAATGAAGTTTTTGCTGTATTAACAAACATCAAAAATTTGATTGTAGTAAAAACCTTCATTTGCTCTTCAAGCTCTTCAGAGCTCATGAGGCCCTTTATAATTTAGTGCCAACAAGTCTTAATTTGTGTGGCTCTAAATGCCTGGCCAAATGGGGACAACAGGCCAGTCCCCTAAAATATCACATGCTGTCACGTCTCCAAGCTGCACACAAACTGTTCCCTCCTGCCCGGAACAACACCGCCTCCCTCCCTCTGCCTGCCGTGACCTCCCCAGGTGGGATAATTTTTTCCCAGGCTCTTAGCTCTTCCTACAGTATTTATCACACTGTGAACACTTTTTTTTTTTTTTTTTTTTTGAGACAGAGCCTCAAGTTGTCCCCCTGGGTAGAGTGCTACGGCATCACAGCTCACAGCAACCTCCAACGCCTGGGCTCAAGCAAGTCTCCTGCCTCAGCCTCCCAAGTAGCTGGGACTACAGGCACCCGCCACAAAGCCTGGCTATTTTTTTTTTTTTGGTTGAGCCCACCACAAAGCCCTGTTATTATTATTTTTTTTTTGGTTGCAGCTGTCATTGTTGTTTGGCGGGCCCAGGCTGGATTCGAACCCGCCACCTTAGGTGTATGTGGCTGGCGCCTTAGCCACTTGAGCCATAGGCGCTTAGCCACTGTGAACACTTCTGTCTTTCCCATTCAAGGGGAAAGCAAACAGCTGGTGCTCAAGCAATGAATCAGAGTACCCCAAGTGATCTACTGTTCCCTCATCACTTAAGACACTGAGACGTGAAAGGTTGCTCTGGCAAGATCACCGGAAACAAGGCTCGGGGCCTATAGCTCAGCAGCTAGGGTGCTAGCCATGTACACTGGAGCTGGTGGGTTTGAATCTAACACCGGCCTGTCAAACAACAACTACAACCAAGGAGCTGTTTTTGAGCCCAGGAGTTTGAGGTTGCTGTGAGCTGTGATGCCACAGCACTCTACCCAAGGTGACAGCTTGAGAGACTGTCTCAAAAAAA